TTATACACAGTAAAGTCTCCAAGCGGCGGACGTAGCTACTTGCAAAGGTACGTACGTGTGTTGTCGGCGGTCGGCGGCGTCAATAGCTTCAACGAGCCGCTAGACAAAAAAAGAAAAAAAACGAATGCCGAACTCACATGGATAAATAACTTGAGCAAACTGTTTAGAATCGGGCGGTAACTTGCGCCACCTATCGAGATTTCTAGCAGCCTGTTTTTAAAAAAAAAGACGAGTCTGTTAACACTGTGAATGACCACGGCCACACAGCAACCCTACATACAACGCAGGCAACACAGCACACAGCTACACGGCACCGACATATACACAAACACAACAACCGACACAACGCCCGACACTTCCTACTCGATATCCATTTCTCCCCGCGGCGCATATAAGCTTGACATGTGCGGGTGAGCTCCTTGGTCACTGACCATTACAGATTTATAGAAGAATACACAAAACACGGCGCAATGGACAGCCGTGTGTTAGAACTGTTTGCATTTAAAAAGTATGGAGGCAAAATCTATAATGTTAGTCCGTTGCAATAAATAATGATATGTTAACAATAAATCTTAAACCGGTCATGAAAAAGTTCAAATTTTTGTTATTTTCTTGCTTGACCAGTGTTATGAGCAGTCCGACTAGCATGAATCAGACAGAAAAACAAATTATTGGGATTTTGTCATTACGTATACAATAATAAATGAAAATGATCCTTGCGCAAAGCATTTTTTATATATTTTTGTGAAGGACATCCGGACATCCGCCCAACACTTCACTTCCGCTAGTTGCAGCAGTTGCAGTACGGGAGCAGACGCCTTCACTTTTGGGGCGTTTTGATGCAGTTTGTTGTCGTATGTCGTGTCGGTGACGAGAAGAGCGGTGGGGCTTGGGAGTTTGTGACCGGTGTTATTCGTGAACACTGGTGTGGGGCGCTGATGCGTCTTTTTTTTATACTGCCACCACCCCGAACTTTGAAGATACACGGGCCCGTAGCAGTGTATTATGCTGAATCGCGAGCTCCTTCTCTGTTGACGTCGCTTTCCTGGTACCACTCGTGGATACTGCAAGCGTTTAAACAGTGTGCACCGTCTCGCCTACATCCCCGGTGACGTACTCGACCTGTTGAAACTTATTGCTTCCGTCCTTTTAGAGTACACAAGGCAGTTATCTCGTTGGTCTGGTTTCGGTTATAAAAGCAAGGCAAAATGCCCGTAGTTCCCGCCCTCAGTACACGTTGGACATCTTCCACACTTTGACACCGGATGACTGAATGAACGAGGATTTACATTCACTTCCGAGGTTACTCTCGCCGCTTCCTCACCGTTGAGCAGCAGGATGAGCTGGCGACAAGCCGCGGATGAAAGGCTGGAGCATCAACAGCCCAAGCGCACTCGGTGCCGATGCGGGCGACGCGGGTTTCTGTCAACCGGGAGGCCAGCACAAACCGTGACCATTCCAGCTCTTCGTCTTGACACGGTGTTGCAGAGAGCAGGGTAAAATACAGCTACACGGATCACCGAAGCAAACGACTGCTATCTTAAATCTTGGCTTGTGATTGCGCCTTTGTGGTAGATCATCTTATTCGTTTTGCTGGAGAGACGCAAACGACAGGCATAACAAAATCGCTTGCATATTCCGCATATCTCACAAAAGCATTTACCCTGTCACCTTGCGAAAAGCGCGAAAAGCGCGAAACACGGAGTCCGCACCGTCCTAAGCTTCCCGTTTTTTTCCTGCTTTAGAGCAGTTTGTACCTGCTAGTAGATATGCCCACTGAAACTGAAACAGGGCAGTGCCAGAGAGAAAGAGACAAAGTTGAGAAAGCTTGCTCGCTCTCTAATTTCTCAACTCTCAAGTGATTGTACCATAATAAATGCACCAACGCGTCTTCCAAAATAAAGAAAGAGCACTACGTTCACAACATAAAAAATGGTCTCAGTACATGCATCTGTGGGCAGGTAGGAAACCTTGCCCTTATTTATTCACGCCGCATGATTGCCGCAACAAACTCGTTGCAGGACCGAATCATACTTGAGCGGTGTGCGTCGCTATGCAAACGCAGTCCAACACGAAGCATAAAAAACGGCAGATTTAAGACAACAATCCGGAGTCCATTATTTAATTAAAACAACGTAATTTTGTTGAAAACGCCCGCTGATTCTTACTCACGGTATGTGTCGGGATACTTCCACAGTTTGAAACGAAACGAGGGAAGATTTACTTTTAAAAACGCTCGCTGCGTCCTCCCGGACCAGCTGGACCGGATCAGCTGACGACGACGGGACTGTACCCGTTGAACCTCCACCACGCAACAAACAATTTGCGCTCCGTGTTAAAAGCGTGGTTCAAACAGACCCGGAATACAAAGCACCGCACCACACACGACGAATGTTTCAGCTCTTTTACGCATCGCCGGGTTGCACCAAACAGAACGAGATCGCCGAAGTCAACGCCGCGCTGTCATGAACCTTGGCTTGTGGTTGCGAACTCGTGGACCCTGTGACTCCCTTCGCTTTCAAAGCACACACGACGATTACGAATGCTACTTTCCGTCTTCCAGGAACATCACAGGGGCACTTCTCCGGTCACGTCTTCACTATGTGCTCGCAAACTCCGAAGCTCTATGCGAAGCTTCTCGCGTCCCGTCAAACCAAAACAGTAGCGGCGCCATGCGTACTTGCCAGATTTTCTCCGGTCAAACAAAAACAACGAAAGCCAACCGGCGCTTGCTTCCAGCGTACATCGGCGTTGCGCTTGCGCCGTGGCCAGATCGCCAGATCGCTTGCAGTTGAAGGTTGAAGCAAAAACGAAACCAACTGCAATGTCACGTGTTCACATCGAGGACACGCTTTTTATATCCGTTTTAACTGTTTGGAACGAATAATTAGACCCATAACTTTATTTGTGGTGTCTAAGAAACTGTTATCAGGACCCCTAAACTAAATACAAACATGGGCGACATGAAGCAAGCCGCATTGCCATCGACCAGAAGATGGCGGCGAGCCCGGTAAGCGTGGGTTTCGCCAACGTCCTGCGACATGGCGCAATTGCTTTTGGTGCATATCTGTCTCCGAGACATGTTTCTTTCCGCGGCATTTGTCTTGATGGTCCTTTCTAAGTGTGTCCCCAAGCATTCCGGTGCTTCGATAGCCGGCAATGCCGCGGTCGTCGCCGGGGGCGATGCGTGTTTTCGAGGTCGGCTACACGGTTATGCGTGTATGACCGAACCAAAACACGTTTTTTACAACCTCGCATGATTTCTGAACGAATTATCCGTTACTCATCGTGTAAATTTATGGTAATTTGTGTAAATGGCGTATTTTTCACCCCAAATATTCGCCAAATATACGGGACTTGCTAACAGTGTACCTATGGAAGATATTAAGGTGGTTTTCCGTCCACGTGGGTTCGATCCCATAACATACGGTGCTAGTACGCTTTATGATGGCGATACTTCAGCTTCTTCCACCTCTTCAGTCACGCCCACAGGAGAAGATTAGGATTCACCCGTACAACCGCACCTTTACGGTCAGCACACCAGGTCAGGACAGGGCTCGCCGACTAGGCGGAGCCACATCGCTCACGCTGGGAGACCGGACTTTTCAAGTTTCTGCCTACGTGGCGATGCCCGAAAACTCCACCCGCATAGTTGTACCGGAGGCACTATGCATGGGGGAGACGATGGAGGAAGTCATACACTACGCCACCCTTGATAACCCCAAACTGAACGTCCTTCATGCGAGGAGGATGGGTACAACTCGGACCATGTTAATGACTATTGAGGGAACCAAGCTACCCAGACAAGTCACCTTTCGTCACGCAGTGCTGCTCTGCTACCCATACAGAGAGAAAATCGAGACCTGCTTCAACTGCCGCCAAACCGGACACAGGGCCGACGTGTGTAGGCAAGCCACCAGCAACAAGTGCCGCAGCTGTGGCACCGAACACTCCAACACCAACCCAGACGGCTCGACTTACACCTGTAAACCGGTCTGCATCATCTGCAGAGGGGAACATGAAAGCGGCTCCAAAGTGTGCCCCCACCGCTTCGTGCAACGCAAGAAGACACCGGGACCGTCGACACCGTCAGACAGAAAATACCGACGCCGATCCAGATCGAGGCGGCGGGGAGCGGAATCCCTCAGGAGTCGGGACCGCTCCAGGTCCTCAACTTCGCACCCAGGGAGCAAGGGCAGGACGAATCAGCAACAGCAGCGGCAAGATGACCCCCGCAAGGTGAGCTGGGCTAGCAGGGTCGCACACAACACCAACACACACCCCAACAACACAATACCCCCGGCAGTAGCTAGGGAGCTGGAAGCACTCAGGAACGAATGCGCAATCCTCAGGCGGAAAGTAACCGCAACCCCAACACCACCCCTCGTGAACATGGAAACCACAACCGCGAAGCAGACTTATACCACGCTTCTCAGTCAAGCGCACGCACCAGCAGCTACGGCTTTAACACCACCAACCCCTCCGAACGCAGAAACAGAAACAGCGAGGCCAACCTTCACTGCGCCGCGAGGACAGACATCCACTCCCACTATGACACACCATCCGCAAAGCTCGAAGCGCAATGCGACAGACGCCGTATCGGGGAAGTCGGACTCTTCTCTCACGGAAATGTCGACCGTGGGATCGGTGACGAACTCCGCCAAAGAGAATCCTAAACGTAGACTCTGGCTCCGCGATCGCGTGGCTCGGCGGGAGGAGCGCATAAATAGACTAGAAGAGCGCATGGATAGTCTGGAACAGAAGGTCGTGGCAATGCAACAGAGCCTCGACAGTATCTTACCCATCATCGCTCTAATAGCGGCCAAATTAGACATAAGCATTAACCATGGTCCATGGCCAACCCCAACAGACCAATAACTGTGTGGCAATGGAACTGCAGGGTACTCCGCCAAAAGCGGAGTAACCTGTCGCTCCACATCAGTCAACAACCGACACAGCCAGACATTCTAGCGTTACAAGAAGCGACGCCACCACTTAAAATGGCGGGCTACGCAGCGTTCGCATACACTTACCCCACGCAACCATCCACTTCCAAACGACAACACAAACAAATGTCGACGGTAGTCACATTCACACACCGCAATCTTGCAGTCACACAACACGAAATCGAGGACACGCTAATTCCACACGTGTTCCTCGAGATCCATCCGCACAAGAAGGGCAGGCCCAGTATATATGTGCTTAACGCTTACAGCTCGCCCAAAGACAGTTCCAAGCAGGCAGCTGCACTCATCCACAAAGCCGCGATCCTGGCCGGCGCAGCACCCTTATTAATTGCGGGGGACTTCAACGCGCGCCACCAGTCATGGGGATATCCGCGCTCAGTACCCAAAGGCGTAGCCATATGGAACACGCTCCAGACGGACCATCTCACACTCATAACTGACCCGGATTATCCGACCCGCGAAGGGAACAGCATGTCTCCGGATACGACCCCGGATCTTTCCATCACGCGCAACATCCCGCTAGCCACATGGTCGAACACTCGAAACACGCTCGGCAGCGATCACTTTATTCTGGAAATAACGATCCCCGACAACACGCACAAAAGACGAGAGACACCCGAAAAACGTTTAGTTAATTGGGACCATCTCCGGGCCCTTCGCGAAGAGGAGGGGGAGGCTGTCGACCTGGGCAGCTGGACACGTTCCTTACAGGACAGTGTCAGGCAGGCCACGGACACGGTCCCCGCTGCCTCACCAGAAGGGAGGGCGGACGCCAAACTGCTACATATGTGGCAGGCTTTGGAGAGACTCCGCGCTCGCTGGTCCAAACAAAAACGCAACCGCTCGCTCCGCAAACGCATCTCGCGCCTAGAGAGGGACATCGAAACGTACGCGATTGAGCTAGACAGTCAACACTGGGGGCAGATATGTGACCAGATCAACGGCAAATTGGGGCTCCGAGACACGTGGGGCCTCCTTCGCCACCTGATGGACCCCCAGGGTTCAAAAACGGTACAGCGTAACACACTAACCAAGGTAGCCAGTACGTTCCCGGGAGATGCCAGGGCACTCATAGAGGCCCTGAAGGACAAGTACGTTAACCTAAAGAAGGACGACGCGGAATCTCAATCGTATTCGGGAATCAGGAACCCCGAACTAGATGCGGATATCCTCGAGGCCGAGGTCCGTCACGCCACCACTCAACTCAATCCTAATTCGGCACCGGGCCCCGATGGGGTCACCAACAAGACCCTACGCAACCTAGACGCTAAATCTATAACGGATCTCACGCGTTTCATTAACGAGATATGGCACAGCGGCACAATCCCGCCAGAGTGGAAACGGGTTAAAATGCTTTTTATACCCAAAACAGGTAAACCTCTCAACGTCGATAATTTGAGACCCATTTTGCTGACGTCCTGCGTCGGCAAGGTGATGGAGCACGTAGTGCTCAATCGTCTTCGGGACTACATGGAGGATCAGGGCTTGTTCCCTGACTCCATGTTTGGCTTCCGCCAACACCTCTCGACGCAAGACATCCTTCTCCAACTCCAGTCGGAGGTAATCGAGCCGCGCCGAAACAAAAGGGTTGTGGTAGGGCTTGACTTGCACAGAGCCTTTGACAACATACGGCACACGGCAGTCCTATCCAACATAAATAATTTGGGGCTGGGCGAACGCTTTTTCGCGTACGTGCAGTCGTTCCTCGAAAACCGCACGATAGAAATTTCAGTAGCGGGATACACGTCAGACCCCATACTCACAGGGGACAGAGGCACTCCGCAAGGAGCGGTCCTGTCCCCTATGCTATTCAACATAGCCATGCTGTACCTCCCGAGTAAGCTGGCCACCATACCCAGACTTGGTCACTCTATTTACGCAGACGACATCACGCTGTGGACCAACAAGGGCAGTGACGCGGACATAGAGGAGACGCTTCAGACAGCCATAGACGTCACATATGAATATGTCGCGAATTTAGGGCTCGACATCTCTCCGCTTAAATCGGAACAGCTAATCAAGGACGAGAGCGCACGTCTCACTGACACAGAAGGCTCAGTAGAGCGACTGGACCTGAGGGTAGGCGACCAACCCATACCGGGGGTCAGAACCATCAGAATACTGGGCTTAATCTTTCATTGCTTCAAACCAAACACGGACGTAATGCTAAAATTACACTCGATCACCCACCAGACTTTTAGACTCATCAGACGCATATCCAACAGGCGCGGAGGAGTAAAGGAAGCAGACATCCTGAGACTCATCAAGGCTTCCGTGGAGTCCTGAAGAGGGCTACATAGTTTTCTAAATAACAAAAATGAAGCGGAGTTGCCCTTTAAGCGCTAGAAATGGCATGCGCCCTTGTGATCTCATCTCGCCGATTCATTTTCCCTCGAAAATTGGCCCTGCTCTTTTAAGGTGTTCACATAGTTTACATTTATCTGTATTCATTTGCCCTTTGTTTCTCATAATGTTTTTGCTTCCGAGCTTTTTGTAACATACAACAATTCCGCTACTAGACTGCAAGCGGAAGCTATTCGTTGAAGGACGCATTTTGGCTGCGCAAACTCGATCAGCAGGAGTAACTGGCAAAGATAAAGCTACGAGCTCGGGATTCTCGCCCTGGTGTAGGCCTTTAGCGACCATGAGTGGATGTCTGAAATAATAAACAAAAACATGCTCTCCTGCCGCAATACACGCAGTAGTTGAGGGTAGTACTGCCGGCTGACTCAACTGCTATTTAACTAACAAAAAAAAGATATGGCAGTTGATCATTTACCGAAGTAGAACAAAAGAGAGCTCTAGGCTGATTTTGGAGTAGCCATAACTATTCTAAGAATGCGAACCACTTCACAACGGCAGCCACGAGCGAGAGTTCGATGTTCCGTACAGCCCGCAGCCCAAAGATGCAGAATGGCAACCTCCCGTTTTGTCGTCTGCTAGCGGAGTCGGGCGCGTGCCCTCTCTCTCGTTTTACCCCGCCGAACCTGCTGAATTTCCCGGATGTATAAAGAGGGCGCTGCTGTCGAACAAAATGGTGCCGCCCAGATAGTGCTAAATGGAATGGTCTATACTCCTTACCGTATCTACTATTAAGAAAGACCGACAGGAACAAATGCGATCTGCTTCTCCGGTCGGCGTACAAATCGGCACTGGGCCTGTCCCCCCAAACACCAACTGTCCGCCTCATGGCTCTAGGACTACACAACACAGTAGACGAGCTGCTTGAGGCGCACCGCTCTGCTCAGATGCTACGCCTGGCGGGCACCAGAACCGGACGAGCGGTTCTCGAAAGGCTCGGCATACCCCCACCTCTAAATACCGCGTCTCTAATCGTGCCGATACCAACCGAAATTAGGTCTCGGCTCAGGATCCCACCCTTACCCAGGAACATGAACCCGACTTTCCATATTCAACGACGCAAAGCCCGAGCGGAGGCCCTTCACAAGCTGTACGCGGAGCGTCCCGACGTATACTTCGTAGACGCGGCTAACTACAGCGAACACCGGGACCGCTATGCCCTGGCCGTGGTGGATGGAACGGGGCGCATTGTAGTGATGGCCTCAGTCAAGGAGGATTCCCCCACCAGAGCGGAGGAAGCTGCAATGGGCCTGGCCCTCAACCACGCGTCCGAGTCGTTACGCACCATAATCTGTGACTCCAAGACGGCCATTCTCGGCTTCAGCTCAGGTCGCGTCTCTCGATCAGCAACAAAGCTCCTAACATTGAAATCATCCATCATCCCTCCAGTCGCACACCCAATCACATTAATCTGGTCTCCGGCTCATGAGGGGGTCGGTGGTTACGAGGCGGCCCACGCCGCGGCCCGAGATGCGACTCGCCGGGCCGGGACATGCGGGGCGGTCGGCGTGGCCATTCCGATTGCTAACGAGCCGAGAGATCTCCCATGGCATAAGGAACCGCTTCGTGGTTTTCATGACATTACACAACACTACAGATTACAGCGCCAGATATACCCACCACCACATAAGTCACTCAACAGACGCCAACAAGTATTATGGCGACAACTTCAGACGAATACTCTTCCTAACCCTGCGACACTCAGACAGTATACCTCCCGGATCTATACAAGGCCCGATGCACCAAGTGCTATGATCCAACAAAGGACGCCGACGAATACAACAAGGCCACGATCGAACATATATTCTGGTCCTGCCCGGCCGATCCCCCACCGTCTTCCCTCACACGACATTTGACACAACCAGACACTCAGTGGACGACCCTGCTGCTCAGCTCCGACTGCGTTATTCAGCTCGCTGCGGTCACAAGAGCCGAGCAAGTCGCCGCCCGGCCCAGTCCGTCCGGCCACTCTGCAGGGGAGGCACCACGCCGGCCGTAGGAGAAGGAACCCACGTTCTGGATCTCATGAAGCTTTTATAAAGTTTATTCTCTCTCTCTCTCTCTCTCTCTCATCCGCTCCTCGGTGCGAATTTGCTCCAGCCAGAGTCCTCATCCTCCTTGTTCTTTTTGGACCTCCTTTTCTTTGGAGCTTTCCTCGGGGCTCTGGGTTCTGGGTTTGCTGTTCTTTTGTACAGGTGACGGAACAGTTTCCGGATGACTGGAAAACTGTAGACGTCCTAGTCGTCCTGCTGGTATATTGGTCCGGGAGTGAAGCTCCTCTTCATGGCTCCTGGTCTATCGTTTCACCGGAGTTTCCGACGAACAGTCGGACCGGCTTCTGGGTCCCCGGGCCTTGCGTCCCCGAACTCGGGAGGGGGACGCCACGGAGACGTCCTTGCTTACCCCGCTGGTGGATGCGGTTTCCATCAGAAAGGATTCAGCCCGCCCGGCCTAGAATTTCTCTCTGTCGCACGTCTGGGCCTATGCGATCTCGCTTATCGAATCGGGAACAGTCGAAGTCTCTCTGCAAGAATACAAGGATACATGGGAACCGCGACAGTCAGTCTCGAGACGTGCGAGATGACGTTTGAAACTGTTAGAAGGCTGATGTTCATTAAACTCTTTCACTCACAAACAAAAATAAAATCCACTTACGTTATCCGGCGCAAAATAGAAAATTACTTTATGAGCTCCCTTCAAAAGTAATAATATAAGAATTACCGCAAAAATAGTCCTACATTTGTCGAACTTTTTTTTCGTTTTTAAGTACAAGTAGATCACATGATTGCCGCCGCTCTACATGATATAGGGAGTATTCAATGGCGGCCATGGCTGTGTGCGCGACTGCTAAGCGCGTGGCGATGGCGAGCTTTCACAGTTCGTTTGCAACGTGCATTCCATACCATCAAGATTGCCGGTCTTAGCAGCCTACAAGTGAGAGTCCGGTCTGAGTATGCGCTGTGAACAGCGCACTCAAATATGGCGTCCAGTGAACACTTCCTATGGATCGAATTCACTGGACGTCAGTTTCTTGCTCGTGGTTCAAGCAAGCTATCTTCACGAATAGAATGCTCCGCTCTGCGGAGATAAACTGAGAGAGAGGAGCAGCAGCAATGTCAGAGCGCCGAGCTTTGATTGGGAGGATCAGTGGGTAGGGGCAATGGCGTTTCTCTCTCCCTACTGTCTCCCTTCAATCAGAGAGAACAAGAACATCGTCTGCTCCTCGCGCAAGGCCTGGCGTTCGAACGCCGAACGCCAGGCCCTGCGCGCTCTCGAACCGGAAATTCAGGAGATCGTCCATTGACACCGAGAAAACCGTCTGAATGGAACAAACGAGACTCGGGCCTGCCTATCACGCCGAGGGGCGGTCTTGGCATAGGACCTTAGTCTACTTACGGACTGGCTGTTGCTAGCTAGCGGGCCGGAACCTCGCGGGCAGGCGACGTCGGGCGCCGAACGGGAACGCGGACTCCCCCTGGATGTCGGCAAGGCGCGCCCAGGGCGTCGTAGCCTCCTTTTCGGGACTGCTGGCCGGTTTGTGAGCTTCCAGCGGGTCCGAACCTGCGTACGAGCCCTGTGACTGCCCTTGTTCCGAATGAGGCACTGGTCCCGCGGTACACGCGATCTCACGCTCTTGCGCTTGTGGCGCTTCGTCCTCTTCGTCTCAGTTTCTTGGCGACTCGCACTGCTTTGATCTGCGCAGCTTTGATTGGTGCTCAAGGTGCGCTCGCGCTAGCGTTCCCGTATATTTTGACACATTTGACCGCATTACCACAGAAGTCGTTGCGAGTTAACGGGGCGCCTTCACGGTGTGTAGGGAAATCACTTATTCGAAACACGGATGCCTAGGTTACTCGCGTCGCA